AGCAGGAGGCCCTTTCCGTTCTCTAATCTCTTCTTGAAAACCCTCCAGTGATGGAGAGCATCCACAACCTCTGGAGGCACATCGTTCCACGGATGAATCGTTCTCACGGTCAGGAAATTTCTTGGTTCGAGGCTGGATCTCTCCTTGTTCAGATGTGGGTATCATATCCACCTAGCTGAAAGCGGAGACGGCCTTCCTTGCTGGGTCCTTTAAGGGAAGCTGCAATCCTTCCTCACACCTTTGGCCCGTGACGGGTAACCTGGAGTCCAGCTTGGGCCCCTTTTCATCAGCAAGAGGGCAGAAGACTGGGGTGCATCTCTCTCCTCTCTGCATGCTTTCAACCCTGAAGGCTCAGCCCTGATTTAAAAACCCCCGAGTCTTGATCTGCTGGCAAAGCGTCTCCACTTTACGTCAAGGCCCTCCTGCAGAGAAAGCCTTAACATTTGCAATTTGCGTAATTTCTCAGAAGCAGAAGCAACAACACCGTGGCGAGGTCAGTTGCCCGTGTGCGAAGGAGAGATAGGAGTGTGCAAAACTAAACAACCCTCCCCAATTATTCCCCCCCTTCTTTCTCTTTCTCTGAGCACCAAACAGCTGAATTTGGGAGCATTTGGTCAGGCTGTTTTTAAAGAACAAAAACCTGCAACACTTTTTAAGCATCACCGAGCAGGGGGAAAAACTCTGTTTCCTAAACGCTTTTCCCCCTCTGGACTCGGAGAACTTATAAAAGGGGGGACATGTTTTCTGAGGAGGTGGAGATGTTGGCCAGGTACTGGAGGCACCACCGGCCACTTTTGAGAGTGCTTGGGGTGGTGGTGGTGGGGGAAAGACAGCCCGATTCAAACTTCTGCCGTTCAGCAAAGACAGCACGAAATGCTGATCCTGAATTCAGGAGAAACCTCAAGCCTAAAAACGGCTGCTGGGAGCACCGAAGGTTTGGGCCGTTCCTGGAACAAAGGGAGGCTTGTAATTTAGCAGTTGCTGTGGGTTTTCTTGTGGCCGGCATGGTCCAGATTTAGAGAAATCTGCCCAATATTTGTGGCGTCGCAGAGAGAGTTTCGAGAACATCCACTCCTTTCATTTCTGACCGCCTTCCTCCAAGGAGAGCTTCAGGCGAAGGCTTCTCGGCCTCCCTCCCTTGCACTGTGGTGGCCCCTTCCCATCCCAGGGCTATTGAAAGCAAAAGCCTTTTGGGTCTGCCTCTGAAATGGGCTTGCATAAACCAGGATCTCGCCCCAACTGACATGCCACCGGAACAAACCGTAGGAGAACTTGGGGCAGCAAGGATGCGTTTGTTGAGCATCCAGGAAGATTGAAGAGAGAAAAACAATGTCGTGACTATCTCGGCATCGTTTCTTGGAGAGCTTTTCAAAGGGGAGAAATAGCAATAGCAATTAGACTTATATACCGCTTCATAGGGCTTTCAGCCCTCTCTAAGCGGTTTACAGAGTCAGCATATTGCCCC